GGGTTAGAGGCCATCGCTAGTAGGTTGGAGGTGCCATTGCTTCTAGGTTGGAGACCATTGCTATGGGGTTGGAGGCTGTCGTTTGTAGGTTGGAGGCCATCGCTCTTAGGTTGGAGCTTTCAGTGACCTCCGAAGGGGAGGTTGAGGGTGGGGAAGACTTGCTTGCCAATCATCATCATGATCATCCTTCTTCTTCTTCTTCATGCCGGTATCTTCGTACTTGGACCCCCGCACTTTCTGATCATCTCAGGTGAGGGCAGGACCACTTGCTGGTGTTTCCGTTCTGTCTTAGTCTCAGCCATGGAGAATGAATTAAATATGTCACCACAATGAACCCAAGATTTTTTCCCTAGAGGTGAGTTGTCGCTCACGCGAGCCAGAACTCATGGTCGACCACTTCAGATTAGACTCAGCCAAACATTCTCTGGGCAAAGATCGCCGTGCGCCACTCGAGCACTGTGGATGTACTGCAAACCCCTCACCACACCGTAGAGAATGTAGTCACAAACTGGGCGAAAGCTGTGCTCAGCCGTGCTGGACATACCTCCACATGTTGTTCCTAGTGATGAACAGGAGGAACATGTCTTGACAAACACCAAGAAACAGCTTCTTGCACACGAGCCCCCCAGGAAAGGACGCGTTCATGAAGATGTCAATCATTCTTAATCATATGATGAGATCAACACGCACAAGACACACCAGTCAGTTCTATATGCAAAGGTCCAAGCTGCTATCTAAGCGAGATGGCAATTTGTGGAAGCGCCGCAGCATCATTGCCAAAGAAAGATCCATGTGTTCAAAGACGGAATAGATGTCACCCTGCATATCTGCACCATCAGGGTCGCCTCTGCAATCGACAAGCAGGGTGTCACTGTGATGTCTGCAGTATCCAACGCGCAACAAGGCTTTAGGTATGCGAGTTAGATTGGTGTTGAGAGGGTCTTGTCGTGTCGATTGCCCTACAAACATCTGGATACAACATGATAAAAACATGATACAAGGATACCTCCTCACAAACACCTGACATGCAAAAAGTGACCCTCAATCTCAGCACTCTGCCCCAGTCCTTCGCAGAATTCTGTGAACAACTTGTGCCAAAGAACTCGCTCCGTTCGTAGCTTAGGCTGGGGACTCGCCCCCCGGAACTCGCGCACGTCCGTTCGTGTGACGCCTGGGGAGACGAACAAGTCCATGACGTTGATGGTATGGACACTCTTGGCCTCACGAGACGCTCGAAGAGCACCATTCGTTTCCGTGAGAACGTAAGACGTTCACTACTGCAAAAAGAAACGGAGGATGTGAAAAAAATAAACAACCACTGCGAAGTGCTAATGGATCGTCTGCTGGGACTGCGTTTCTGAACCTCCTTCAAGAAGGAATATTCGTTGAAGAGCTTCTCCGCGGTCCGGAAGCAGCAGGGGACTTTCCGGAATAGAACCTGCAAAAACCATGAACGGCAGTGATCCACTAGATTTCGTTTGGACTACTGATCAATGATTTCTTGCTAAAGCAAAAAAACAAGTACACCATGCAGGAATCAATTCTTCAAACAATGAGTTTGTCATAGTTTGTCCAAGAATTCCACCTGAAGTTTACCCATGTTTCCTTCATATTTTCCTCACAGCAACCATTTCTGGCTCCTTCATCTGCGATGCCAACGCTCGGCCCCAGCCCTTTCGATGCTCCACATTGGTCACCTGAACGTTGGGAGCGATGCCATGAACCGAAAGCCAGGTGTTCAAGCTGGAGGTAGTGCTGGGACGCATCCCCAGCTGTCTCTATCTTTGGGCACAACTGGCGCTGGAAACATCTAGCAAGAATGCTACTAGTAGTAAGGCCCTTTGTTACTAGTAGCGATGCCCTTTGTTACGTAGAACACACCATTATATGTTCTCATGCGAACTCAGCCAGCTTGTCAAAGCTTAAAGACTTCACGCAAGAGAAACACACCCTAGTAGCGATGGCCTCCACACATCAAAAACAACCTCCTCAGCCCTGTGTGGCCTGCTGGTAGCAGTCCGGCAGGCGGCACTCGCCCCATGGCAGTCGATGCACCTGCTTTCCGGGCGCTCGGTCTCCGTCTCGGGCGCTGGGACTCACTTGCAACTTCCACAGTGCTCGCACGTGCCTGAGTAGCTGTGCAGGGCTGTCGTGTTGCGAAGAGGACCTGTCAGGAATGCTGGAAAAACACTTCAGGTGGAACGAGCTAGCGTCTCAAGGACGAGGGTCTTTTGGGAGGCCGAGTTCTACTTCCATGCTCTTTCAGGTTCTTGAGATCTTGGACCTCGTGAAGGAATCTTAGAATTTCTCAACCATGATTCTACTGATGCTGGAAAAGCAGTCCTGCTATCTTCTGGCAGCATTGATTTTCGTGAAGGACCTCACTTCTCCCTCACTTCTCCTTCGCTTCTCCACCCCCTACGTTCCTGACTGTCTCCTTCCCTCACTTCTCCGTCCGCCTCGCCGTCCACCAGCTCCACTGCTCCCTCGATGGGCGCTGCATTCCGCCTCGCCGTCCATCCCCGGGCGGAGCGCACTCGGCGAGGGAACGAACTCGCCGGTTCGAGACGGGCGGCGGAGCGCGCTCGGCGGAGCGAAGGGAGGCGGAGCGAGTCCAAGCGAACTCGGTGGACGAGCGAAACATGCCGGCCGAGCAAACGGCACGGGTCTCCGGTCAAAAATGGTTAACCAAACACGCAAAATCCCCAAACGAACACGTGCAACAAACCAATCATAATTCAGAGAAGGCACACCAGTTGCCATCGAAATGCCAGTGTTGTAGCCTTCAAGTTTACCAAGCGATGAAGCTCTTCCCCAGAGGATTTGCGCGGCAGGACCACCTGAAGGCTTCTTTGGAACAAACACCAGGAAAAGCAAGCAACTTCTCTGTACCGCGCATGTACCACAAGTGGGACATGAAATCATGTCAAAGTCAAAGTGGGCCAGTTCTGAGCGCACTGTACCCTTGAAATCATATGGGTAGGATTGGTCACTATTGGTCTCGCGTCTACAAAAAAAAGCGTCTGTTTGACCAAACGATGTACAGAACACCTGATTTCGTGGACCCTGATGATATGCATCAGGGTCCAAGCGCCTCTGCAACCTGCTCACCGCTCAATGCACGCACGTCAATCCGAACCGTCTCCGCCATGACCGCCATGACCGCACATCGTCTTTTGAAGTGCAAGGATTGTTATGTTATGCGATATGTGATGTTGAATGAAGCAACTCGATGTGGCATTCTAGATATTACTTGGTTTTATGCCTGACTTGGGCTTCAGAATGCTTCAAATATACTTGGTTTGCTATTAAGATGGAGGCCATTGCTAGTAGAGAGGCTATCGCTAGAAACGAAACAAGAAAAGAAAGAAAGATCGAAACAGATCACCCCTTGCTTCAGCAAGCAACATCCCTTCGCTTCCCAAAACAGATCGACTCGGCTCATTGGATCGACCGGCGTGTTTACGGGCCGATCGGTTCAGCGGATCGTCAGATCCAACGGATCGGGTGGATCGGATCGTCTGGATGCTTCGAAGCCAAGCAGGGGTTCCTCCGTTCGGGGTCCGATGCCCTTGGTTCCGTTCGTAGCAAACCTTGTTCCTAGTAAGGCCAGGAGCCCCCTAGCATAGCGTCCTTGCTCCGTTCGTAGCGATGCCAGGAGCCCCGCTCGTAGCTTCTTGTTCTGTCTTGTCTGCAATCCATCGTCATGTGCAAGTCATGACCGCTTCTCGCCACGCTGTTTTTCTTCGCTACGATAGTTTTTGCCGCTTCTCGCCACTTTTCGGCCTTAGGAAGGCGCATGTTTCGTGCTCATGAGAGAGTAGCAAAGGACGCTACTAGTGACAAAGGGCATCGCTACGAACTGAGCGGTCGAACGCTACGAACGGGGCGCTCCTGGCATTACTAGTAGCAAAGAGCTACTAGAAACAACACTTCGTTGGAAAAGTGACAGTTCGAGCTTGAAGACTTAAGGAAGCTAAAGCAACCGCCTACTCGGGACTGACGGTGCTTGCCCATTGAGTGTTTTGAGAGACCCTCATCATTTGGCATCCTTCAGTTGTGAACCTTTTCTGCTTCCAATCGAGGCCCGAACTCCTGGTTTTTGCCTGGCATCCCGCAAGTGCTAGATGTGTGGTGAGCTTTTTTAAAAAGCTCTGATTAATTTTACATCTGGTCGTGTAACTCATGTGCAAGCAAGCAACATCTTCAGGTTTTTGATCTTTCTACATTTGCCTTCACAGAATCTCACAGAGTGTCCCACAAAACCATCCCGTGAACCTTGAATCGTCGAGACTGCTGTCTGGCGGAGAATGCGCGGTCTTGAGGTTGCTGTGGGGCTCGGATGCGTTCGAGATGTTGTTCTTTCCAGAAGTGTTCCAACTCGTGTGCTGGTGCACTGCTTCATGAACAAAACAAAAAAGCACAGTCGCACAGTATGCCAGCAAAGGTCCTCCAAACAGAGACATATTGTGCTTCCCTCCTCATATTGTACTACTCCCCAACCTATCAAAAGAGTAAGTGATAGATGTTATGCGTGGTTTTGGTTGTTCTGGGATGCCATGATGTTCACAGAACCGGTTCTTTCACATCCTTCGCTTCGCCGCTCTCTTCACTGTCGCCTTCAAGTAGCTGCAAATGCTGCCGACCTGCAGGGTGAAGTGCGGTCGGAAGAATCTTCCAATGGTTTTCCGCCGTGGATCAAATGGTCCTTTTTGCCACCTGAAACGTCATTTCATCTGCTAGGAGGGGATGAGTGGAGAAGCCGAAGATTTCCTGCAAGAAAAAACTCCGAGCCCAAGATCCCTCCTTGCTCTGGCCAATTTGCGGGTCCATGGAGACGGAGGAAGCAAGACAAGTCCCAGGAGTTGCTGCAGTCTTCAACTATCTTCAACTGATACCTCCCTATCATTGTTATTCTACCAAATGTTCAGAAGCCCATGACGCGAGTCCCAAAAACACGCAGAGAGTCGACTGTAGACAGGTCTCTTGTGGACCGGTGGACAGGTTCCGAACCCAGAAAAAAAAACCGAGCCGGAGCCTCTGAAGGGTCCCGAGCTTCTAGAACGTCCATGACTTCAAAGGCCTGACGCCTCGGTCGACGGGTTGTGCAGTCGTTGGCGATGAGGCACAGACCCGAACAGCTCGTTCCTCAAGCGACGAAAGCAAGATAAAGCAGGTGATGAAATGTGATGAAGGTGAGTTGAAATCGATGGCAAGCTGAGCACCCCTGAAGATGCACTTGTAGGCAAAACACTCTTCTCTGAACCAAGCCAGCAATTATATCCTTGAGATATGATCCAGAGATATTTCGGTCCAAATTTGTCCAGCCAGAAACTTGAGATCCTTGCCATAACCCCGGCAACTGTTGAACCCCTAAATGTCTGTCGTTCATGTCCCAATTCGTCCAGGACCAAACCACCCTCGCCAGGCCACGTGGGCAGACATCTGAGGGCCAGGTAGGTCGGCACATCAATGCGTTGATGCTGCGGGACCGTGCTGTTTATCTGCAAGCATCGCCTGTACACCGGTGGCACACGATGGCAGTCCCGTCATAAACCTCATCACCTCGCCCCCATAGCGATGGCCTCCCCCGTAAGATATCATGATGCACTTGTTGAATCTTTTTGAGGGCATTCAAAATCCAGGATTCAAAACAACATGCGCTAGCATGGAGTCTTGCTCCAATCTATCGGTGTACTATGGTGTAGTAGCTTCCGCTCGCTCCGTTCGAGTCGCGAGTCCGTTGGATCGGAAAGGGCCTTTCCAGCGGTGTTAAGTCTGGCGGAATGATGCCCGGATTCCTCAGCTGCGCAGAGATACAAGCTGTCACCACAACCCGAGTTGTGACACGAATTCGTGACACGAAGTCTCAGCTGCGTGAGAAGGGCCCAAACATGTCCAAACATTCTGCTCTTGGCCGAGGCTGATAAGAAATGCTGCGGTCTGTTGGGACAACACAAGGCCCATGTTGCTTGGTTTGCTTGCCTTCAGTTTATAGCGATGGCCTCCAACCTAATAGCGATTTGCTTGCTTTCAGTGCCTCAACTGGACGTCACATCAGACGTGCCAAGGAGCACTCCCCAAGAGTTGAAGCGGTTGTGACCGGACCGCTCACCTGCGCAAAACGCTGCGTGAAAAATGGAAACTCATAGAACGCACTCCCATGGATGGCCATGGTATTTACAAGGCAGTCATTGCCAAAGTGTTTCTGCCCAAAATAATTGAAATGTGGACCTCCAGCATCTGCAGGGCTTTCTGGATCTTTCTGGGATTTACTGGGCACATGCATCGATGGGTTGCGTCAAAAAGGAGCCCACACTCATCAGTTGCCTTTGAGAGGACATGGGAACGGAAATCCAGATGCAACACTCCCCACACCTACAGCACTACGTAGGCCTCACACCTCTTTTTGAAGGGAGCTTCTCCCTGTCAGCTTCTTTTTGAACCCTAAGACAACGCCCTACACAGCACCCCAAACGCCCGCCCGCCCGCCCCACGTGTTTTACTTGGTCTCCGCCCAATCGGCACCTCCGCCGAACGCGGGACGCAGCCGTGAGCGATCTTTCGGGACGAAGCCGCGGGCGACGGTGCTCATGATGTAGCCGGAGGGGTTCCTGGAGGCGGGCGAGGTTGGCTGGGGCTGTTCCGGAAGGGACATCCATTGGTCTGGTGGAATTATAAGGGGGGGTGTTGTTGGATGGATGAAACATGGTGAAACCATGGTGAAACCTGCTTTTGAGACGAGGTGGAATGACTTGATCTACTGAAGATGTCTGACTGCGGTAGGTCCAGTTCGACTGGGAAGATGTCTGATTGGTGGTTCCCCTATGTTCCTCACCCAGTGAACCAATTCGGACAACCTCCCCAACCTCCCCATCTGCCTACTGATGTCCATCATGATCCATATCAACATCATGATTTATCTGCCCAAGTAGTACCCAAACACTCCATGCAACTGCCATATATGCCTACAATGACCCCCAAAACCAGGGTATGATCCTCACCTCTTGCGTGTGTGTGTGTGTGTGACATACAGTCCTCAGATTCAGATGGTGCTCGATGACATACCTGGAGGCGAGAAAGCTGAGGCGAGAAAGGGTGAGCGCATCGAAGCATTTAGAAGCATTTAGAAGTCAGTCAAAACAGAAAAGGACAGAAAGCCTTATACTAAACGAATAATTTCCAAATGAAGGCCATAGTATGCCATACCTATAGTAGGTTGGAGGCCATTGCTATTAGGTTGGAGGCGATTGCTATTAGGTTGGAGGCCATTGCTATTAGGTTGGAGGCCATTGCTCTTAGGTTGGAGGCGATTGCTATTAGGTTGGAGGCCATTGCTATTAGTTCCGAAAAAATTGCTATTAGGTTGGAGGCCATTGCTATTAGGTCAGAGGCCATTGCTATTAGGTTGGAGGCGATTGCTATTAGGTTCGAGGCCATTGCTATTAGTTCCGAAACAATTGCTATTAGGTTGGAGGCCATTGCTATTAGGTTGGAGGCGACTGCTATTAGGTTGGAGGCCATTGCTATTAGGTTGGAGGCCATTGCTCTTAGGTTGGAGGCCATTGCTATTAGGTTGGAGGCGATTGCTATTAGGTCAGAGACCATTGCTATTAGGTGCCATTGCTATTAGGTCGGAGGCCATTGCTATTAGGTCAGAGGCCATTGCTATTAGGTTGGAGGCCATTGCTACTAGGTCAGAGGCCATTGCTATTAGGTTGGAGGCCATTGCTATTAGGTCGGAGGCCATTGCTCTTAGGTTGGATGCCATTGCTGTTAGGTTGGAGGCCATTGCTATTAGGTCAGAGACCATTGCTATTAGGTGCCATTGCTATTGATCGGAGGCCATTGCTATTGGGTCGGAGGCCATTGCTATTTGGTTGCAGGCCATTGCTATTAGGTTGGAGGCCATTGCTCTTATCTCGGAGGCCATTGCTCTTAGGTTGGAGGCTATTGCTCTTAGGTTGGAGGCCTTTGCTATTAGGTCGGAGGTCATTGCTATTAGGTTGGAGGCCATTGCTATTAGGTCGGAGGCCATTGCTATTAGGTTGGAGGCCATTGCTATTAGGTTGGAGGCTATTGTAGGCTTGTAGGTAGGTTTGAGGGCTTTCCTATTGGCTCGGAGGTCATTGCTATTAGGTTGGACGCCATTGCTATTAGGTCGGAGGCCATTGCTATTAGGTTGGAG